TGTGCCAATACTGCTGACCCTAATCTTTTGTTTTTCCTTTTTCTAGTTTGCTATAGGGTGTATGTGCTCTCTAGAGTGAGACAGAGAGAGAGAAAAAAAGAGAGAGAGAAAGTGAGAAAGCACCCCTGAAGGAGGATGACCATGCTGCAATTCCTTCTCCTCCATTCTCTTCTCAGGATTTTGGACACATATGCACATACCCCCAATGTGTTTTTCAAGTCACTAGGTCTGGGACTCTAAACATGTGGTCAGCCATGTGGGACCTAGCCACCTTAACCACCATGCCACTAACTGGCCCGACTCCAATCTTCTTAATAAAAATAATCTCTGATTATGAATTAATCTCAGAAAATATATAGTGAGGACTTTGAGTTGCAAAGGACAGAAATGCAACTTAAACTAGTTTACTTAAATTAAAAATCAACTGGCTTCAGGTAGTTCAGAATGACAGTGGCATTGCTATGATCAGACAGACAGACATTCAGCTCAAAAAATGTCATTAGGTTTTCTTTATTTGGCTCTATTTCTCTTTGTATCTTGGCACAATACTGAAGACAATCTTTTTCTATGTTGCAGAGGTAATGGTTAACGGTGGCCACGGAATTAAACTTTTCCAGTATTATGAGTCTTTATTAAAGGGGAACTTGCTCCAATAACATTTGCTTGGAGTAGATTGCACTCCATCTCCAAAGCAAGATCAAAGAAATTGCCCAAGTCTCAGTCATAGGCCTACCCCTGTTAGCTGGAAAGACAAAACTGACTGCTGAAGGAGGTAAATGGAAGAAAAACCTGCCATTCTGGCAGGTTAGTTAGTTCTGGGAAGGAACAGAGAGCAAATTAATCATAAAACTCATTGAAAATGGTTGTAAATTCAGGAGTGTATCAAACAGATCTGTTAGACCCTATGGCGGGTGCTTCTCTCTCTCTCTCTCTGTCTGCTGTCTGTCTCTCTCTCTCCTTCTCATATATGCACACACGCTCTATCAGGATAAAGAGAGAAAAAGTTTTAATTAATTAATTACCTAAAACCAACAAGAACAGACCTTACAAAGGTAGGAGGGCAATTCTAGAAGCCAGTTAGAGGGTCTGCTCTGCACAGGAGAGTAAATCAAAACAAAATCAGCTGGACCAAGCACATAGTTATTAGGTCATTGGAAAATGCATCATAACTTTCCTGAATACCCAATAGTTAGACTGAAGAGACCCTAAGGTCTACGCTCAAAAGTGAGTGGAGTTTCCCAGAAATTTGAGAAATGTTATCCTCCCAATTTTTCAAATACTTCCAGCTTTATCTAGAACTCCAAAGGATCTATGAGATATTTGGAGTTCCACAGATCCTCTAAGGAGTCCTAGTATATTTGGCAATATCTAGAAGACCCACGGAATTCACTGGATGCTGGCCAATTGAGAAATGTAGACTGTAAATTCTTAACATTTGTTAATTATGCACTATAGGGGGGGCTGCAGATGGTATAGCGGTTAAATCACCAGACTCCCACATGGTTAACCACAGTTCAAGTCCTGAATTCAGTGGCTTGAAAATCACACTGGGTGTGTGAGCATGCTCCCAAGATCCCGGGAGGAGAATAGAGAAGAGACTGAGTCATGGCCATCACTCATGGGGGGTGATTTCTCATTTTCCCTATCACGGTATTGTCTCTCTCTCTCTTTCTAGCGAGTGTGCATGCCTTAAGGCAGAAATAAAATCGTGTACTACATAAGTAATTCCTTTTTTAAAAAACATTATTTAATTGTATATATTACTGCATTGTTTCTTTTAATTTCACTATAGGGCATGTATCGTCACTGGAGAGAGGCAGAGAAGGAAATGAGAAAGCAAGCCGCCAGGCCTGGGACTTGAACTGCAGTCAGTCATGGGGGAGTCCAGCACTTTAACTACCATGCCACCTGCTGGCCCTAGAAGTAATTCTTAAAGTGAGCCCCCCCCCAACCAATAGTTTCAAAATACCTTGGAAATCGTTAGAAATAAAAAGTCTTAGGCCCCACTGAAAGACTACTGTAGCGGAAACTCTGGAGGGAGGCCCAGCATCTGTGTTTTAACAGACCCTCTAAGTGATTCTGATACAACTAATGTCTGAGAATCACTGACCCAGAAGTAGACTGGAAATGAAGTTTACTAGCCAGACTCTTGAAATACCCTTGGGGTATGGTTCACATTATTGATCTATCAGAAGAAAGTGAAGTATTCAGAACAACTCCCAAAGGAGCTTTAAATGACTCCCAACAGCATTCATGAAGAATTATCATTGCTTAATGTAGATGACACTGTTAGCTGGTCATTTATTTCACAAATAAATGGACAGTATAATTACATGGAAACATAGTATCTTGGTGGACTCTTTCCTTTTTCATCTATTTTACAGGCTGTTGTTATTATCCAAATTAATAGTTGTATTACATTCTGATTTATATAATGCATTGTAAAAATCACCCTAATTACATCTAATGGAAAACATGCTTACATGGTAATGCTAAAACGACCAATATAATGTAATATCATACATAACATAAATATAAGAATGCACTCAGAAGTTACAACTTGGAAAGCATTCCTCACAATTTTAGATAATAGAATGTATCTGTTAAACAATGAAACTGTGATTATATATTATTTGTAGTAGATAGCAAAAGCCGATTACACCTTTGTTCTGATATAAAAGTAAGGCTAAATATGGATATGTTGAAGCTAGAGTTGAGGAAATACTAGGAAGCTACACTTTGTGGTCACTAAGAACTAAACATTTGTCAAGCACTTACATGTGCCAGACATTGTGTTAAAAACTTTGACAAACAGCAATTCACTGGAGCATTGACACATTACTACAGGGGCCAGCAGGTAACATAGTGGTTAAGGAGCTGGATTCTCACTGTGGTTGGAGTCCCAGACCCAGCACCTTGAAACTCATGCCAGGTGCACATGCATGTGTGCCCAAAATCCTGAGAGGAGAATGGAGAAGAAGGGATTGCAGCATGGACATTACCGTTGAAGGGTGATTTCTCGCTTTCGGTCTCTCTTTCTGTCTCTCCAGCGAGCACACATGTCCTGTAGCAAAAAAAAATAAAAAGTGAATAAATAAAACATTACCACAAGATAGATACTTCTATTAATTTGCTCAGTTTCAGAGAAGAAGAAACAGGTTTAGAAAAGTGTAATGCAATTTGCATATGAGTTTATAATTGGCAAATGAGAATCTAGGACTCAAAGTTAGTGTTTTATTTATTCAAAATAGGTAGATAGTCCTAATTATTATAAAAGAGAGAGAGGGGGACCAGAAGATGGCATATAGTTATGTCTCTGGACTCACACGAAGTCAGCCAAGATTTGAGTCCCAGGCCCAGCGGCTTAACTTCATGCCGTGTGTGTGTGCGTGCATGCCCAAAATCCTGAAAGGAGAATGGAGGAGAAGAGATTGCAGCATGGCCATCCCCCCAGGGGGTGATTTCTCACTTTCTGTCTCTCTGTCTCTCTCTGTCTCTCTGGTAAGCACACATGCCCTATAGCAGAAATCTCTCAAAAAAAAAAAAATTAGTGAGAGTAGAACAACACTTTGGGAAAAACACAGGAGTAATCTTCATGCCTTGGATTAAACAATGGTTTCTTAAATATGCCAAGACTACAGGCAACTGAAGAAATAATATTAGTTCATTGGGGAAGTCATGATGTATTTTTCTGTTTTTCTATGAAAAAATGCATCATGACTTTCCCAACAATCCAATAGTTAAATTTGAACAAAATTAAAAACATTTGTGCTTCAGAGAACATTATCAAGAAAGCAAAAAATCAACCAACAGAATGAGAGAAAACACTTGCAAATAATTTATTTGTAAGAAACTTGTTTCCAGAATGTATAAAGAACTTTTACAACTCAATAATAATAATTTTTAAAAAAACAATTAAAAATTGGGCAAAGGGTCTAAATAGATAAGAAAGTAGATAATCAAGAAGTACATGAAAAGATTCTTAATATCATTAGTCATCAGAGATATGCAGACTAAACCACAATGAGACACAGCTTCATCCTTGGTAGGATGGCTAAAAATCAGACAGAAAACAAGTATAGGTAAGGATACATACAGAGAAAGTGGAACCCTCAAACACAGCTAATGGGAATGAAAAACAGAGCAGCAACTTTGGAAAATTGTCTGGCAGTTAGTTTCTCAAATGACTAAACACAGAGTTTCTGTATGACCCAGCAATCCTACTTCTAAGTATATGCCCAAGAGAAATAAAACATATGTCTACACAAACACTTGTTCACAAGGTTCTTAGCAGCATTATTCATAATAGCCAAGAAGTACAAACAACCTAAGTATCTATGAGCCAATGAATGCATAAACAAAATGTGTTATATCCATATGATGGAATATTATTCAGACAAATTTCCTCATAAAAAAGAATGACATTCCAATACATATTTACAAAGGAAAAAAAAAACTAGCATTTATCTGTCTATTCACACATATAACACTTGTGTGACCAGATATGTGGGTATCCAATAATTCAATCTGAAACTTATCTGTCTGGAAATAATGTCAGAAACCATAAGTTGAGGACTCAGACCCACAAAACTGCCCCCCACTTTTAGGTGTCAATCACAGGCAGTAACTCCTACTTCTGACCAAATGGCTACAAACTGGGGGTCTCATACCCATTCATTTGGTTCAATTATTTAAGTAGGATGGCTCACAGAGCCCAGGGAAATATTTACACTTACTCATTGATTGTAAAGAACATTAGGGATACAAATGAACAGCTGGATGAAAAGATGGGTAGGGTGAGATATGGAAGAGTTGGGCGTGGAGCTTTTAGAACCAGATATATTCAGCAACCTGAAAGCACATCAAATCTTTTTTGTCTAAGTTTTTGTAAATCCTGATCTCCAGCCTCTTACACACACACACACACACACACACACACTCAAGTAGTAACTAGGACAGATCCGCACATTACTTGCTGGCCTCCTAAATGCATTTTTTTAAAAAATATTGAACACTTCACGAATTTGCATGTCATCCTTGCACAGGGTCATGCTAATTTTCTTTGTATCATTCCAATTTTAGTATATGTGCTGCCAAAGCAAGCACCCCACGTGCATTTTTTAAGGGAAAAATTTAGGGCAAGAGTCCCAGACACATGCTCAGGTCAATGATTGATTCAAGAAGGCATCAGCAGCAGATGCCATGGCAGTTAAAGCCCTGGACTCCCACATAGTTGACCACAGTTTAAGTCCTCAACCCAGCAGCTAGAAATTTATGAGGGGCATGCGTGTGTGCATGCCCAGAATCCCAAGAGGAGAATGGAGAAGGGATTGTGGTGTGGCCATCCCCCCTAGGCCATGATTTCTCTCTCTTTCTGTCTGTCCAGCAAGCACATGTACCCTACAGCAAAAATTTCTCTAAAAAAAAGGGGGGGGTGATCTTATTGGCCTTCTAAAATCATAGTGATCACTGTACAACTCTGTAAATATGGCAATAACCAGTGAATTTTTTTCAATTATTATGCATTTTTAATTTGTAAACTTTTACACGAATGAATTTATAAGAGTTATATCTCAATAAAGCTGTTACCAAAAGAGAGAGAGAAAGAGAGTAGAGAATGATTAAAGTGGGAGAGTAAAGAGTTAGCATAACTGGGACCAGCAGATGGCATAACGGTTATGTTGCTGAACTCCACATAGTCAAATGTAGTTCAAGTCCTGGACCCTGCACCTTAAAACTCATGGGGAGGGGATGCAATAAATGGTCCAGTGGTTAAGATGCTAGACTCACACATCCTGACCACAGTTCGAGTCCTAGACCTGGTGCCTTGCTTTCTCACCTTTCCATTCTCTCTCTGGTCAAAGAGACTGAAGAGACCCTAAGGTCTACGCTCAAAAGTGAGTGGAGTTTCCCAGAAATTTGAGAAATGTTATCCTCCCAATTTTTCAAATACTTCCAGCTTTATCTAGAACTCCAAAGGATCTATGAGATATTTGGAGTTCCACAGATCCTCTAAGGAGTCCTAGTATATTTGGCAATATCTAGAAGACCCACGGAATTCACTGGATGCTGGCCAATTGAGAAATGTAGACTGTAAATTCTTAACATTTGTTAATTATGCACTATAGGGGGGGCTGCAGATGGTATAGCGGTTAAATCACCAGACTCCCACATGGTTAACCACAGTTCAAGTCCTGAATTCAGTGGCTTGAAAATCACACTGGGTGTGTGAGCATGCTCCCAAGATCCCGGGAGGAGAATAGAGAAGAGACTGAGTCATGGCCATCACTCATGGGGGGTGATTTCTCATTTTCCCTATCACGGTATTGTCTCTCTCTCTCTTTCTAGCGAGTGTGCATGCCTTAAGGCAGAAATAAAATCGTGTACTACATAAGTAATTCCTTTTTTAAAAAACATTATTTAATTGTATATATTACTGCATTGTTTCTTTTAATTTCACTATAGGGCATGTATCGTCACTGGAGAGAGGCAGAGAAGGAAATGAGAAAGCAAGCCGCCAGGCCTGGGACTTGAACTGCAGTCAGTCATGGGGGAGTCCAGCACTTTAACTACCATGCCACCTGCTGGCCCTAGAAGTAATTCTTAAAGTGAGCCCCCCCCCAACCAATAGTTTCAAAATACCTTGGAAATCGTTAGAAATAAAAAGTCTTAGGCCCCACTGAAAGACTACTGTAGCGGAAACTCTGGAGGGAGGCCCAGCATCTGTGTTTTAACAGACCCTCTAAGTGATTCTGATACAACTAATGTCTGAGAATCACTGACCCAGAAGTAGACTGGAAATGAAGTTTACTAGCCAGACTCTTGAAATACCCTTGGGGTATGGTTCACATTATTGATCTATCAGAAGAAAGTGAAGTATTCAGAACAACTCCCAAAGGAGCTTTAAATGACTCCCAACAGCATTCATGAAGAATTATCATTGCTTAATGTAGATGACACTGTTAGCTGGTCATTTATTTCACAAATAAATGGACAGTATAATTACATGGAAACATAGTATCTTGGTGGACTCTTTCCTTTTTCATCTATTTTACAGGCTGTTGTTATTATCCAAATTAATAGTTGTATTACATTCTGATTTATATAATGCATTGTAAAAATCACCCTAATTACATCTAATGGAAAACATGCTTACATGGTAATGCTAAAACGACCAATATAATGTAATATCATACATAACATAAATATAAGAATGCACTCAGAAGTTACAACTTGGAAAGCATTCCTCACAATTTTAGATAATAGAATGTATCTGTTAAACAATGAAACTGTGATTATATATTATTTGTAGTAGATAGCAAAAGCCGATTACACCTTTGTTCTGATATAAAAGTAAGGCTAAATATGGATATGTTGAAGCTAGAGTTGAGGAAATACTAGGAAGCTACACTTTGTGGTCACTAAGAACTAAACATTTGTCAAGCACTTACATGTGCCAGACATTGTGTTAAAAACTTTGACAAACAGCAATTCACTGGAGCATTGACACATTACTACAGGGGCCAGCAGGTAACATAGTGGTTAAGGAGCTGGATTCTCACTGTGGTTGGAGTCCCAGACCCAGCACCTTGAAACTCATGCCAGGTGCACATGCATGTGTGCCCAAAATCCTGAGAGGAGAATGGAGAAGAAGGGATTGCAGCATGGACATTACCGTTGAAGGGTGATTTCTCGCTTTCGGTCTCTCTTTCTGTCTCTCCAGCGAGCACACATGTCCTGTAGCAAAAAAAAATAAAAAGTGAATAAATAAAACATTACCACAAGATAGATACTTCTATTAATTTGCTCAGTTTCAGAGAAGAAGAAACAGGTTTAGAAAAGTGTAATGCAATTTGCATATGAGTTTATAATTGGCAAATGAGAATCTAGGACTCAAAGTTAGTGTTTTATTTATTCAAAATAGGTAGATAGTCCTAATTATTATAAAAGAGAGAGAGGGGGACCAGAAGATGGCATATAGTTATGTCTCTGGACTCACACGAAGTCAGCCAAGATTTGAGTCCCAGGCCCAGCGGCTTAACTTCATGCCGTGTGTGTGTGCGTGCATGCCCAAAATCCTGAAAGGAGAATGGAGGAGAAGAGATTGCAGCATGGCCATCCCCCCAGGGGGTGATTTCTCACTTTCTGTCTCTCTGTCTCTCTCTGTCTCTCTGGTAAGCACACATGCCCTATAGCAGAAATCTCTCAAAAAAAAAAAAATTAGTGAGAGTAGAACAACACTTTGGGAAAAACACAGGAGTAATCTTCATGCCTTGGATTAAACAATGGTTTCTTAAATATGCCAAGACTACAGGCAACTGAAGAAATAATATTAGTTCATTGGGGAAGTCATGATGTATTTTTCTGTTTTTCTATGAAAAAATGCATCATGACTTTCCCAACAATCCAATAGTTAAATTTGAACAAAATTAAAAACATTTGTGCTTCAGAGAACATTATCAAGAAAGCAAAAAATCAACCAACAGAATGAGAGAAAACACTTGCAAATAATTTATTTGTAAGAAACTTGTTTCCAGAATGTATAAAGAACTTTTACAACTCAATAATAATAATTTTTAAAAAAACAATTAAAAATTGGGCAAAGGGTCTAAATAGATAAGAAAGTAGATAATCAAGAAGTACATGAAAAGATTCTTAATATCATTAGTCATCAGAGATATGCAGACTAAACCACAATGAGACACAGCTTCATCCTTGGTAGGATGGCTAAAAATCAGACAGAAAACAAGTATAGGTAAGGATACATACAGAGAAAGTGGAACCCTCAAACACAGCTAATGGGAATGAAAAACAGAGCAGCAACTTTGGAAAATTGTCTGGCAGTTAGTTTCTCAAATGACTAAACACAGAGTTTCTGTATGACCCAGCAATCCTACTTCTAAGTATATGCCCAAGAGAAATAAAACATATGTCTACACAAACACTTGTTCACAAGGTTCTTAGCAGCATTATTCATAATAGCCAAGAAGTACAAACAACCTAAGTATCTATGAGCCAATGAATGCATAAACAAAATGTGTTATATCCATATGATGGAATATTATTCAGACAAATTTCCTCATAAAAAAGAATGACATTCCAATACATATTTACAAAGGAAAAAAAAAACTAGCATTTATCTGTCTATTCACACATATAACACTTGTGTGACCAGATATGTGGGTATCCAATAATTCAATCTGAAACTTATCTGTCTGGAAATAATGTCAGAAACCATAAGTTGAGGACTCAGACCCACAAAACTGCCCCCCACTTTTAGGTGTCAATCACAGGCAGTAACTCCTACTTCTGACCAAATGGCTACAAACTGGGGGTCTCATACCCATTCATTTGGTTCAATTATTTAAGTAGGATGGCTCACAGAGCCCAGGGAAATATTTACACTTACTCATTGATTGTAAAGAACATTAGGGATACAAATGAACAGCTGGATGAAAAGATGGGTAGGGTGAGATATGGAAGAGTTGGGCGTGGAGCTTTTAGAACCAGATATATTCAGCAACCTGAAAGCACATCAAATCTTTTTTGTCTAAGTTTTTGTAAATCCTGATCTCCAGCCTCTTACACACACACACACACACACACACACACTCAAGTAGTAACTAGGACAGATCCGCACATTACTTGCTGGCCTCCTAAATGCATTTTTTTAAAAAATATTGAACACTTCACGAATTTGCATGTCATCCTTGCACAGGGTCATGCTAATTTTCTTTGTATCATTCCAATTTTAGTATATGTGCTGCCAAAGCAAGCACCCCACGTGCATTTTTTAAGGGAAAAATTTAGGGCAAGAGTCCCAGACACATGCTCAGGTCAATGATTGATTCAAGAAGGCATCAGCAGCAGATGCCATGGCAGTTAAAGCCCTGGACTCCCACATAGTTGACCACAGTTTAAGTCCTCAACCCAGCAGCTAGAAATTTATGAGGGGCATGCGTGTGTGCATGCCCAGAATCCCAAGAGGAGAATGGAGAAGGGATTGTGGTGTGGCCATCCCCCCTAGGCCATGATTTCTCTCTCTTTCTGTCTGTCCAGCAAGCACATGTACCCTACAGCAAAAATTTCTCTAAAAAAAAGGGGGG